CCTCTGGCCAGGTGGGGCGAGCAGTGCCCGGGAGAAGTCTCGCACCATAAACCTACAAAGTATTCAAATACAAAGTATTCAAATACGGTTACACGCGGAGGGTGTGAAAGCAAGGGCGGTCTGAAGTAAATCAAGAGGGCGGCGGCGCGGCCCAGTATTACACTCACCCCCTTTCTTTTCTTCCTTTCCAGGGCTTCTTGGGGCTTACAAATGACACAGTTTACTCGAAACTTCATTTAAAGATGGGATTAGACAGGCAGGATCAAGCCTTGCACTAGGGCACAGCACTGTGCTGACACACAGCTAACTCCAGCTGGGAGGTAGCAGTACCTGGTCCCCCTGCCCTGGCAGTGTTGTGCTTGGTTCTGCCCATTACTAAACTTCTCTTCATGTCCTCTTAGAGCCACCTTTTGGCATCTTCATCAAGACCTCTGGTTACAGGCCTGACACATGCTCTACCACAGCTGCTGTAACTTCATGTAATACAGCAACATTTTAACCCACAAGAAAAAAAAAAAGCTCCTTCTGGTTGGAACCAGAGTGTTACCAGTGTACCACTTGGTACACTGCAAATGTAGTTCAGTGTTAATGAAGAACAAGCAACTGACATAACTGCGCAGAACAGATGATTAGCCAAAAAAGCACTTTAAGATGTTTGAAAGTTTATTCATAGTAGAAATTTCAATTTCTTTTGAAGACTACAAAACCTGCCATTAGACAGGAATACAAACAATGATACCTTTCCAGAACTGTTCATAGTTACATCTGGAACAGTTCTAATTACACATTAATAGCATGATTGGAACATTTCCTAGATCAGACTCTGAATAAAACAATCATTTAAAGTATTCAGTACAATTTTTTTTTTTTTTTTTTCTTTTACTAGCATTTCAGTTCTATGACAGCAGTGCCAAGCATCTAACAGATGCTGTTGTAATAGTCTTGAACAAGGTCCTGGAACAGTACCTCAGACTCGCATGCCATGCTGAGAAAACTAGTATAAAGTATGATTGTATAGAACTGTAGAAAAATATTTTATCTGTGATTTTGTCACTTTTTAAAAACGTTTTAAGTAGACCCCCCCCAACTAGGTTGCAAAATAATTACATCCCCCATAAGTACACCTTCCCTTTGATTAGGTCAAGAGTATCAAGATAAAGCTAATCATTTACATCATTTTCATAAGTGAAAATTCATCTATTAACCATTGCCACTTACTAAGGGCCAGCATACTTTGAGTCCTTTTCCTTCCAATAATAGAAAAGCACAGCTTTAGTTGGTACACCACATTTACAAAAGCAACACACACACACACACACACACACAATTCCCAGACACGTAAATCTATTTTCTTATGCCCTTGCCTCTTTAGAAAAAAGTTTTAAATATTATCTCGAAAAACTCCTTAGAAGTTTCATTCAATGTTATAGTGATAATGAATAAAGAACTTTGCCCTTACTGGATATAGATGGCATTTAGTGGGTATTGCAACTATACTCTTCCCTCTGTTCTCTCATGCTCTCAAGCACAGTTAAGTGGTAATTTCACATTAAACAAATCATGGCCTATATATAGAAAATTCACCTGTATCTGCAGTTCTCCATTTTTATTCTCCATGACTCTCTATCCTAGAGTTACTTGCTATGCTTTGCAGACCAAGCAGCAGCCCAGCAATGAATTTACACAGTGTCATGCATACTCACATTCCAACAGAAAGGTGCTGGGATCTAAAGCAGCACTATGTGGATTTCTTTATAGCTGCTAACAACTGTGGCTACAAAATGAGAAAAATAATTGTGAAAGTTGGGAGCACAGATCCAAAGCAGGAGGCAAGGTACATAAAATTACCACATAATTCTAGCCTGTAAAACATACCTCCTGCACAGACGGGCCATTTATATCTCAGTTTAGAAAGTAACTTCAAACTGTAGTGGATCTAGACTTCAACACATTGAAGTTAACATGTGCTAAACTGCCCTGTTTTATTAGCATTTAAAATGATCACCCTGTGCTGCTTTATACACAACACAGTAGCAACATCTGCAAAGTCTAGACTAAATTAACAGCTCACTTGAGACTGTAAATACATAAAATGTAGGAGTTAACTTTGCTTCACTATCTGGCTAATGACCAGGGCCACAAAACATGGCTAAAATAAAACTCCTGAAAGTACTTTTATATTACTCTAACATGGATATTGCCAGTAGTGAAGCAGCTTAACACTTCCTCCTTTTGGTCTGTTCTTTGCCAGGTACCTATATATACACATCGAGAACACAGGAGAAATTCCTTCCTGAACTGAAATGCTATTATTGACACTAGCGCTTACTGTTATCCCTTCATTTCAACAGTATCAGTTTTAAATCTCGTTTGTTGACTAGATACCACAATCTTCAGATTAACACATTTAAAAGCCGCTCCAGAAGGTATGGTTTCTAGGTTTTGAGAAGCCTGACTTACGATCGCTCGCAGAGCTGAAAATACATTTTCTGAAAGAAAAAGTTTTACTAAATTCCTCTGGAGCTGCACACAGTGTCAAAAAAAAACCCCCCAAAACAAAACACCAACAAAAAAATAAAACACCCTGAAAAAACCAAACAAATGGTGTTTTTCTGCCTTTAGAGAAAATGCTTCTTGAAGGAAGGGTAGATGCATCTGTACAAGTCAAAGAGAACATCACTGCTAGAGCACCAAGTAAGGGAAAAATGCCAATTGCTTGGAAGAGCTGTGTGTTCACATTTCTAAGATGTATGGATATTTAAGAATCCTTGTTCATAAAACCAATTCTTTACACAATTGATTAAATATTTAACAAATTCTTAAGGGCAATAGAAGTGGGTTCCCTTTCCCAAGGAACTCAGAAAAACCTTTAGCAGAAGGAACACTCTTGCATTCATTTAGAGTAAACCAGTGATATCATAAAGATGATTCTCCCTTTCAATAAACCTCTGATGATTTCAGGGCAACTAGCAAATTAATCACCATAAAAAATTTTAATATCACTAAATCAAGAAAATGCCTTCTTACGCAAGACACAAAATTGCACCTTTCAGTTTTTAAATTGTGTTATTCACAGAGCTGTTCATCCAGATCCATTATTTATTAAAGCTGGAATTCCCAATAGCCATTTTCATATCCGCAATGAGCTGATGCAGCGTATCATTTTGGGGGAGTGGGACACTGAATTCAAACACATTCCAGCGCATCTTCTCCTGTGGGCAATTTGATCTTTCAAGACTAGCTGTCAGAAAACACTTTTAATTACTTAAGATGCCGAGAGGCCAAGAATATTAGAAGTTTATATTAGTACTGAAAATTAGTCTTTCATCCTCATTACAAACTTGCTTCCACCTGGGGAAAAGGGGAACACTCACTCTGAAGAGCTTTGTCTTATCTTACTGGGACAATACTATTTTCATGGTAAATTACAATGACCCTTTTCTGACCCTTGACTGATCTGGATGACTCTCCTCTCGTTTTGCTTCAGATGTCAGTAACAATTATCAGAAAATAACTGACAGAATATCAGATCCATCAGTTTTGCAACTGCAGTGAATGCAGTTTAAACCTACTTTTTGCAGGCTTCTGCTTATTAGCGGACAATATGTTTTGCTTTATCTTCAATGTAGCCTTTCTTCTATAATGCCAACATTCACTGAACAAATCCTTTGCAGCTTAAACAAAAGTCACAGAATAGAGATAAAATATTAACAATGGATTATAAGAATAAACAATATAGAAATGTCCTCTATCAGAAAGTATTTAGCTATGATTCCTGAGTCCAGAGATTAGATCGGAGAGAATAAAAGGGAGAGTAGGGGGAACAAAAGACAGTTATCTTTTCTCTGGGTTATATTACCTACTGTATATATAGTATGGTGATTCACTGTTTAAGTTTTGAATACTATAAACAGCATCCTGATTTTCATAACACGACATGCAGTGTCAAAAAAATGGAAATGTAGAAAAGACATAGGCAAGGAGAAATATGTATTCATAGTATTACATTCAATAGCTGTTTAACAGTCAGGCTTCTTTTAGAGCTGTCCAACAACAGTGATTAATCCAGCTGAACTGTTTAATCAGACTTAATTGTCAAAATGATTAGTAATATCTAAGTAAAACAAGGCATGTATACATTAAAGAAAACAGCACAGAAACGTACTGCTTGTGAACTGTTTACAAAAACATACAAAATGTTGGATGGCACAAAGTATATAGTGCTAATATAAACAGATTGTTTAAGCTAAGTGCTTAACATAAACTGTCCATCTCTACATGTAACAAAGAATATTTTAGGGGACAAAAAATATTCCTTATAAAAATAATGCTATGTGGTGCAGAGTGCTTTATTCAGTGTATTTTTGACAGAGGTGGCATTCGTAATTCTTCTGGTTTATTCAATCGTGAACATGATCATATTCGTTGTGTTTCCACTTGTCACTCCATTTGAAGCTCCAGTAAGATCAGTAACTTGCTGTCAACAGTTTAAAGCGAGAGTAGATGAAAGCAATAGCAGCAGCAGGAGCAGCAGCATTATAGGTACCAGCTGGGACAGAGTGTGCTTGCAGGTATCTGTCAGATATGTGCTACCTGTCGCCATGATTTGTGCTATCATCTTATGCCATGGTACCAAATATCTGGTTGAGGTCACTTCACAGGGCTGTTGAGGTAATTTTTTTTATACCTCTCCTCTGAGCAAGAGTAGAACGGCCAACTGGCTCCAAAACTGGTGACTGATTGCGATTCAAAGCAGAGTAAGTTGCTGCCATTGCACCCTGTGGGGCAGAGGGGAAAAAAACCAAAGAGGACGTTGTGACTGATGCACACACTAGAGATCACACAGTGCTAACCGCCAGAGTTTCTGAATGAGTTTTAACTTCCAGTCTACTTTCATCTACAATACAGAAACACACCACTGCATTACTCAAATACCAGCAGTGTTAGGAGTGAGTGTTTGTTAGGGTAATAAATAGTTTTCACATCAATCTAAAGCAATTTTACCTTGCTTAAAAAGTCAAACCAAGAAGCTGCAAATTGCTGAATTAAGTTCTGTCTCTATGCTTTGTGAGACAGCTGGGGAGTGAAATCCCACTGGTAGAGGCTGTTGCTGCTTATCACATAACCATTTCAGTTTTCAACACAATATTTAAAAAAATCACCCACAACATTCAGCACATGAAGATACATTAAAAAAAAAAGTTAGAAAGTTGTGAGCTATGGGATCAGAACTTCCCTCTTTCTACTTGTGTTTTTGGTTGCTAGAAATTTCTAATAGCTGACTCAGAGAGTGTTAATTATATTCTTCAGATCCCTTTTATTTTGCACTACAGATTCTCGGATGTAGAACTGAAGGCAGGGTGGAATACAGAGAAATAGAATTCAATTATTTTTTATTTCTACTTGTTCTAAGTGGAAAAGTTTATCAGATTGTGTTCCAGACAAGAGTGCAGAGCAGTACAATACCATATTAATTAACTCTGCCTTTTTGACTTCTTTTTAGTTTATACTGTGATTGTGAAGTATTTGCTTTTAGTCACTGACAATTAACCTCCTCTGAAACTGTAAAATTAGCCAAACTGTATTTCAGCTCCCCTACAGCCACCTGAGAACATTTTCACTACCAGAAGAACAGTTTCTTTTATGCTGGTTCTTAAGGCAATTAAGTCCAATGAATTTCAAACCTAAGAAAATTAAAGTCTTTCAAATGTACGAGTCTTTGTTTCCCCCCACCCCTGCCATGAGTGGGTTCTTATGAAATCTTATTAGATATTACAAGTTCACTTTCTGGCTTATTGCAACTCCCAGTCATAACTTTTAAACAGCATTTAGAAGAAACACATGCTACCGTAACCTTTTTTTTCTTTTTAATCCTTTTGTTTACACTAATTGTGGCTAAACAGCAAGCTGAACAAATACATACTTACCTTCACTAAATGGGGAGCATCCTGCCTGTTCAGCTGGTATTGAGGCAACTGGTCACAGTGAACTATCCAGGGGTGACTAAGAACTTGGGCTGCAGTCAATCTTTGATGTGGGTCAACATGAAGCATTTTAGAAACAAGGTCCTGTCAAATGACATACAAAGAGTCAATGCAAACAATAGTAAAACTTCATCTTTAAAACAGATCACAGTTCAAAACTGAAAATTTCATTGGTATAAAACCATCCATAATGTCAGTTTGAAATGCTGAAAAGCTGCCTGGCAATGTTAACATCATCTCTTTTAATTATATGACTTGATAGATGTATGGTAATACACAGAAAAGTATCCAATTAAGTGAGGCAAAATACACAAACATCAAAATATGCACACTAGGCTAGAACAGAGCCCCCACTATACCGGTATTTTATTTTTAACAATGACAAATAACAAAGATGTGGGGGATGAATATGAGAAAAAGAACAGTAAAGAAAATGATGATCCTTTCCCCTGCATGAGTTCCCAGTGTCTAGTAAGCTTTCAACCTGTGAAAGTTGAAG